TTTGTAGCTCTTTCTTTTTTTAAAACCTTTTTTCCCTCGAGATTGATTTGATTATTAGCAAATCAAAAATTCGAGGGTTTTTCGAAACGAGTCTAGTTATCTATATATATATATATATATATATATATATATATATATATATGTATGTATATATATAATATATATATATATATATATATATATATATATATATATATATATATATATATATATAAATGGTTGTGCTCGTTGGGAAAACCTTGGATATTTCAACTTGTAGTAGAACAAACAAGTACTCAAGGAAAAATGAAGGATAAAAAATAGAAAAAAACCAAGAACATTAAACTAAGGCGAAAACAATCGTCCAGAGTTCAAGTTCAAAGTCCAAAGGAAAAAAAAACCCTCTAAAACTAGTGAAAGGCAACTACGTTAAGTGCTTAATACACGAAGTAGAGAAAAAAATAATATAAACCTAATGAGCCAAGCAAACCAACCTAGGTTTCACCAAAACGGATCGTCAGGTCAATGCTGGTCCTGACAATCCGTTTGCCCTGACGATCAGTTTAGGTGAAACCTAGGTAGGTTTGCCTGGCTCATTAGGTTTATTATATATATATATATATATATATATATATATATATATATATATATATATATATATATATGCAAAGATCAACAAAATTACCTGAAGCTTTAAAGATCGCATAGTTGAAATCTATTTGGAGTGCACGTCTCCAGTGTATATTTATAAATGGAAGGCCATTGTTATGACAGCATCCCAATCAAGAAGCGACTGTTTGCGAAAACTATCAGCAAGAACAAGTGGACACCTATTTCAGAATGTCCGCGCAAATCCTGATAAGACTTAGGCAGTTCTTGTATGCTCACTGGCCAATGTCGGAATCAATATGTATACATCTACAGTGCAACGAAATCTGAACAATGCAGACCTTCATGGTAGAATACCGAGAAAAAGCCACTGCTTAAGAAATATAACAAATATGCTCGCCTCGACTATGCCAAAGCTCATAAGAATAACATAAAAAAAATCTGGCAAAAGTTTTTATGGTCGGATGTGTCCGAACTAGAGCATTCTAGGAGGGACAATAGGTGGTATATCTGTCGAGTTCCTGATGTCGATTTCGAAGAGAAGAATCTGATACCAAACATTACAAATGGTGCAGACAGCATTATGGCTTGAGGAACTCGCGATTGGAAAACATTCAGATAATTTGTATATAATTTATGTCATGAAACGTAAAAAAAAAAAGAATACATATGAAATTATATACAAAAGTCAAACACAAAGAAATCTGCATAAAAGATGTAGGATTGCTGCCCCCATATATATATATATATATATATATATATATATATATATATATATATATATATATATATATGTATAAGCAAATATATGGATATAGATCCGACAGTATGAAGAAAATTTACGGAAAAAACAAACAAAAATCCTTATATGCAATTTAAAACAGCATAATTGCATATAAGGATTTTTGTTTGTTTTTTCCGTATATTTTTCTTCATAAGTATGTATATATATTATAATTTAGCCTCTATTTGCGTATTGGACACTTTTTTTTTAAAAATAAACACAAAAAAAACTAAAGAACTTCGTATTATTAATCTAACAGCTCTTTCCTATTTTTCTATATATTTGCACACACACACACACACACATATATATATATATAAATTTTCGTATATACATGTGTATATAAATATATATATACATATATATAAATATACATATTTGTATATATGAATATATATAAATATACATCTACATATATAAATATATACGTATATATATAAATATATATATACATATATATATATATACGTATACATATATATATACATATAAATGAAATATATATACATACATATAAATATATATACATATACATGCATATAAATATATATACATATAATTATATATATATATATATATACATATATATATATATATATATATATATATATATATATATATATATAAATATATATATATATATATATATATATATACATATATATGCATATATATATACATATATATGAATATATATATACATATATATGCATATATAAACATATATAGGCATATGTAGATATATATCAATTTCTCATACATCTTACTAAATTAACAATAAATAAACAAATATATAAATACATATAGACTTATGTTTATTTAAATCTGATTTCTATAAAGATACATTTCAACTAAATTTGAAGTATTCAGTCGCTTATATTTTCATGTTTTGCTTTTCTAATTCTGATTTCGTTCTTCAGTAATAAAATTCTTTCTTTTTTTATTTCTGATGACGCCGGTTCATTGACGAAATATGTTTTGTTCATCTTTTTCCATTTCACACCAAGCAAAGCATGAATGACACTCAGACATGGTAACTGAAACGGAAAGAAACTGAAAAGACGTCACTCAGCAGATAAGACAATTCAAAAGAACAGATGTGAAGGTGACAAGATTACAACTGACATTGCATTTAAAAATTTTATGTTTTTCTATTGCACTTCCGAAACTCTCTTCAGGAGCCTTGCATTCCAGTCGTTTTCGATCTTCTAAAATTGAAGTGCCAGATCTTTTATCTTGTTATCTTAACACTTCGTCTTTTATTCTTTACTCACCTTAAAAATAATTTTATTTTTCTTATATTCTTTCACGCTCTGTAACCCCTTGCGTCTTAGTGGTTTTATTTCCTTGCTTGGGGTGAAATGATTATAAAACCGATCAAACATAGTGATTAATAATAGAAATGATGTAATGCCTTTTCATGAATATGACACCATCATCAAAGAAGAATAGACCTGATACAAAATATAACAAAATGACTAAATGTAGGTTTCTTGAATTTGTAATTGAAAATAAAAAAGTGGCACCTGAAAATTATTTTTTATATCTTCAAACATTGGTAATCGGGGTACTATAAAAAAAGTTACAGACAACAATTTGCATACCCTGATCACTAGAGATTAAAAAATATAATGAATAATAGTAGATTTCCAATTGCCTTCTATGTTTTTAATTCTGATTATAACTTCTCCTATATGGGTTTTCATTCTGATCTTGTCTGTCTAGTGGTACGTGTTTTTATTTCCTGAGGTTGAACGGAGAAATTCATTCTTTTTCCGTGACAGTTGTACGATGGGAACGTAACATAGGTCCAGGTCAAGATCAAGAGTCAGGGTCTTAACACTGATGTCGTAGGAACTCCTGCTTGATTCTCTATGTATTTCTGATACTCCTTGGTTGACCATCGCTTTCTCACTCATGTTGGACGAACCTCTCCCCGATTGAACATATCTTTCTCACTCCTGTCAAAGGAACTACTCCCTGATTAACCATATCTTTTTCACTCCAGTAGGGAGAACACATCCTTGATTGACCTGATTTTCACGAACGAAGCCCACAGCTCTAGACGTGTCGTAGGAAGTCCTCAGCTCTAGACGTGTCGAAGGAAGCCCTCAGCGATAGACGTGTTTATACGTCGATATTGATCCTTCGTATACCCTTGAAACGAGTTCAATTATCAACTCATACGTCTGGTAGAGGTATTAGCCACCGCTCGGATACTTCAAGGTGCCTTAGTTTCTTTATGATATTGATGATGACCTTCGGAACTCGAAACGAGTCCAATTGTCAGCTCAGACGTCCCGTAGATGTGTGAGCCACGGCTCGGTTACTTCATGGTTCTCTTAGTTTCTTAGTCATATTTATGCGTTTTATGCCCTTCTGTGCTTGAAACGTAACCAATTGTCAACTCATACGTCCCGTAGATGTGTTAGCCACGGCTCGGTTGCTTCATCGTACTCTTAGTTTCTTAGTCATCTTGATGCGTTTTATGCCCTTCTGAGCTCGAAACGAGACCAATTGCCAACTCATACGTCCCGTAGATGTGTTAGCCACGGCTCGGTTACTTCATCGTACTCTTAGTCATCTTGATGCGTTTTATGCCCTTCTGAGCTCGAAACGAGACCAATTGCCAAATCATACGTCCCGTAGATGTGTTAGTCACGGCTCGGTTACTTCATCGTACTCTCAGTTTCTTAGTCGATCTTGATGCGTTCTATGCCCGTCTGATTTTGAAACCAGTCCACTTGTCAACTCTGGTAGAGGTGTTAGCCATCGATCGGTGACTTCAACGTGTCTCAGTTTCTTTGTTACTATATTAAAACCAAATAAAAAAAATTCCATCTGAAAATGAGACGTTTTTCCCAAAATAGTGGACGGGGAAGTTATTAAAGAAAGTTTTCAGAAAAATAGATTCGCCATTCCGCTAGCCATTATTGCTCTTTTTAGTTTTGATCGGAGTTTGTTATTTGATAGAGTTCTTTGTAGGCTATTCTGTAACGCCTATTCTATGTTATCTGTTAAAATCATTTTTTATTCATTGATCTAAGAAAATAGTTGTATCCAGCTTGACGTTATAACATTTCTAGAGTTTTTTTTTGTCGCCATAAACAACATCCATACGAGAGATATGATCTGAGACTATTTAAGAATATGACACGTGGCTGTTGGTTAATATTTTCGTTCAGTCGCATCTTGCACTGTTGAACAAAACTTTCATAACCGCAACCAGTTCTTTATTCAATTTCCTTATCTCCGTTTCTAAAATTGTTATAACTGATCCATATGAGGATCTGTATATATAAATATATATATATATATATATATATATATATATATATATATATATATATATAAATCAAACATCCTGAATAATTCTTATGATGGATTAAGGCTATATGTGATTAGTGTACAGATTATAATTTTGGACAGTATTACGAGGCGTGCTACTTTTTGGATACTAGATAACAAATGTTTTGTCATTATTAAAAATAATAATAATGAGAAGAAGAAAAGAAGATGATGATGAAGAAGAAAAAGAAAAAAAATGCCGCGTAAAAAGCATCTAGAGGGAAGATTGACAAGAATGAAATTCAACTGTAAAAGAAAAAGAAAAGGTGGAAGAAAAAATTCAACTGTCAAATATGAGGAAGAAGAAGAAATCCACCATGAAAGAAGAAGAAGAAGAAGAAGAAGACGAAGAAGAAGAATTAAATTCAATTACAAAATAAGGAGGAAAATAAAATCTAATTAAAAGATGAAGAAGAAATCCACCGTAGTAAAGAAGAAGGACAAGAATGTGAATGAAATTCAACTGTAAAGGAAGAAAAAGAAGAAGAAGACGTCATTTGTAGAAGAAGAAGACGAAGAAGAAATGATCTGTACAAGTAGAAGAAGAAATCATCTGTGCAAAACGAAGAAGAAGAAATCAACCGTAGAAGGAGAAGAAGAAAAAGAAATAGAATTCAACTTCAAAAAAAAAAAGAAGAAATCATCTGTATAAGAGAGATTAGAATGAAATTCAACTTCAGAAGAAAAAGATATCCTCAAGAGGACGAAGAAGAAAAGAATGAGAATGAAATTCAATTTAGAAGAAGAAGAAGAAGAAGAAAAAAGAAAAAGAACTCTGTCAAGAAGAAGAAAAGAACCTGCCAACCAAAAGAAGAAGAAGAAGAAGAAATCCTCTGCATAAGTAAAAGATACACTCTCTACAAGTAGAAGAAGGTGAAGAAGAAATCCTCTGTACAAGTAGAAGAAGAAGAAAAGAGGAAGAAGAAGAAAAGAAGAAGTAATCCTCTGTACAAGAAGAAGAAGAAGAAGAAGAAGAAGAAGAAGAAGAAGAAGAAGAAGAAATCAACTGTATAAGTAGAAGACGTAGAAGAATTCCTCTGTACAAGTAGAGGAAGAAGAAAAGGAAGAAAAACAATGAGATTGAAATTCGATATCAAAAGAAGAAGAAATTCTCTGTACAAGAAGAAAATAACGAAGATGTAGAATGAAATTCAACTGCAAAAAAAAAAAAATAAATAATTACAAATCCAGCGTATGAAAAGAAGAGGTAGGAGAATAAAATTCAGCAGTAAAAGAAGAAGACTTTCATCCGGCCATGGGGAAGAAATAAAAGAAGAAATAATTCAAAAATATTAAAAAATGACTGATAGCGTCGTAAAACTTTTCGCACCTAGTTGTGTTATTATCTTTAATGAGTTGCATTTTTTTCCAATTTAAAAAAACATTCTTAACAGACACACACAAGAAATGTTTCACTTACGTCTCCAACGAAAAAGATAGAAGCAAAAAAATAAAAATACGGTCTTAGGAGAGAAAAATAAAAACCTTAAATAATAGAGCACTGCACATCAATCAATGATTCAAGTTGATGCCGTCGGCTAGGATATACCTGTCGACGGAATCAGATAATTCTGCCTTTACCAAGATAGTCGCGCGCGTTTTTGATCGTGAGGGAACGCACAGAAACGCATGATCCACTCAAAAATGCTTCGCTTAGAAGGAGAAACATAAATGTATGCGTGAAAGATAAAAAAAACAAGAAGAAGAATGAAAGACACAAACAAGGAAAAAAAAAAAGAAGTAATCCAAATTCTTCAAAAGATGATGCCAATGATAGATCAATGTCACGGAAAGAGAAGAAAGAAAATACCTCCCTCGGGATATGCAACGAACGAGTACATGTATTTCGATAAGATATCAGCTCTGATAGGTATTTAGTAAAACCTGTTTCATCTGTCAGAAAGGCAAATAGAAGGACGATGAGTCTTTGCAGCCGACCAGAAGAATTCGAATTGCTGTCACTCCATTGGTAACGGTAGAAAAATACGCAACGTTTCCATTTAACACAAGCACGCATGCGCGCGTACTCAATCTGAGGCACACACACACACGCATAGTAAAATCTATTATATATCAAATATAATTCAAAGAAACGTTAACGCCGAACAAAACACGTCAGCCAGTAAATTACGAGAGGTCAACACGTTCAAGGATAGAAAACTTTGGCAAATAAGGCGTTCCGTATAAAAAAAGTGAAGTAATATTATGTAAAAGATAAATAAAAGTGCAAGTGAATTATTTTCTGATTTTAAGTTTCGCAGCAACGCCGTTCCTTCAAAACCATATATGATCTCAGTACATATGCAAGCAAATATATATCCCCAATATTGCTAAGTTTATATACCCAAAGCACATTTAAAAAATCTAAAACACACACACACACACACACACACACACACACACACACACACACACATATATATATATATATATATATATATATATATATATATATATATATATATATATATAAATAATGTAATTAAAACTTTTGTCACTTAGCTGATAGATAATACCTTCAGCATCTCGACTCCAGAGATTCATAAATGGACCCTCCAGGAATCACTCTGTCCACTCGTCAGAGGGTATCACCAATATATATATATATATATATATATATATATATATATATATAGTAAGGATACAATGCGGTAATTGTATGGAATTTCCAGGTGTATATAGATCCAGGGAGAGCTCTATGTCAAAATACAGACAAAATTGTTATTAAACACTTAAAATCCCATAGGTAATAATTATTACGTATGAGATTCTAAGTGTTTGACATTCTTTAATTATATTAATTAATAATAATAATATATATATATATATATATATATATATATATATATATATATATATATATATATATATATGCATGAAAACAACTGCTATTTTGCAACTATAAATTTTGTTGATAGTCTTTTTGCAAATTATGAAAAAATCCTTCTAAGACCAAAAGTTGTCCGTAGTTCATTTCGGAATAAATGTACAAGAAATATGGTTCATGATTTCGGCTTCCTTATTTCGTCTTCAACGCAAGGCTGTTGGCGAGTTTTGTAGAACTAGTGCCGTAATATAGTCAGTGCGTATCTTAACATAGGCGAGGTGTAAAGTGATATATATGGTTGTTTTTGTTGTATGTGTATTGCTTTAATTTTTTTTTTATTAATGTATTTTGGTATTGTTTGTGAATGGTTGTCTATTATTAATGTAATCCTTATTTTGCTTATTAATGTGTTGTCTAATGGCACGATAGTACGTTTGGTGTCAGGTGAATTCCCATGAGAGTGTGGTTGTGGTATATCCTATGATTTACTTTTTTATTTACAGCTCGTGATTCTCCGTGTGGTCAAGTATATTAATACACAATATTAATCTTATATCGGGGAATGGATGTTTAGGTTATAGTATGTTTAATAACTAACTTCCTGGTTTTTAATTTTATTTAGTAAATCATAAATATAATACATTTATTTTTATCGACTGACTTTTTTTTTTGTTTTGCGCTTTCATCATTTTTTAATTGTACTGCATTTGATTTTAGTAATATATGTTAGTAGCGTTATTGTAAATATTATGTTTATGACTATGGTTTTCATTATTAAAACTAGTGTGTTGTTAAAACTGAGGGCAAGAAGCAATGTATTAGTTACATGATACATTTTAGATGCATCAAAGATTTTCTTCAGTGTTGCACTGTCCTTATCGCCAATTTCTGGTTTTGCATCATATCGGATCAAACGGCAACCCCGACCTGACTCCGGACGAGTCAGGCCGCTCTCGTGAAAGTGTTGCCTTACGCACCTCGACATACTAAAAAAATTCAGACATAGCTAGGAGCCCGACCGTTCTTATTGACTACGTTAGTCAACATCAGCCAATGAAAAAAAAGGCTTTTCACGTCCCGACTCCTATATAGTGTTGTCTTTTTACTTCATCAAGTTTAGACACGAGCTTCTACCGGATTCCTGACTCAGTAAGCTGGTCCCTTTCTTGCATAGTTTAATCCAAATGTTTTATACGTTTTAAATACTAATCCCATAACAATACTAACATTTTAACTAAACCTGCACGTGTACCCAACCCAAATTTATCCTATACTAGTACTTATACTTCCACAAAATTAGTCTAACTTACCACATATAGTAGCGTTTCTAAAAACATTACTCGTTATTCTTACTGATGTAATGAATATGCATACACCTGGGTTCCCCCTCACAGTAATATAATTGGCTGGTGTCAGCCATAAATACACACTGATGTGGATGTACATGGACTACGCCTATTGTCTTCGCCTATTGCCTACGCCTATTGCCTACCACTACGACGAGGACGAGTCCATTACGGTTACCTGCTAGATTGTCCTACCTGGTTACAGGAGTCAACAACCACTTTGTTACTTCAAACATATCCTTTCCTTTCAGATAAATCTTTAAGTCTACATTTACCTTATACTCTTAATCAAACAAAATTTCTACAAATAAGTAATATTTATTATTGTGTAAGTAATTTTCGTTTAATCCAAGTACAATTTTGTAATTTAAAATAGATCTTTGTTCACGTTAATAATTGAACAGTGTACAATTTATAAACACCTCAGGAAAGATATCCGTATATTATCCTAATAAATATTACATGTTTACAAGCAAAATTATATTTACTGCAAAAGTTCCCAAAGCATAATATATGTGTAAGTTTTAGAAGGTCTGAGTAATCCATAACAGTCCGTAGATTCAATCTGGAATTTCAGAGTCTGCTTATTTTTCGTCCTACTAAGAGCAGCGTATCATCAGATATATATTTTTTAATTTTGTTTTTTTTTCTCTCAAGCTATTACCAAATTCCACAAAGATGTAAGATTCAATAATTAACGATAAAATAAATATATATAAAGACTCAGTATCATGAAACCCACCTTTTTGCAAAAATATTATCATCTTATGATTTGTATTTACGAAGATATTTCAAAATTAAAAATACGTAATAATTGCAGATTATTATATAGATTGTTGGTGTTTAAATGAAATTTGACTTACTTGTCGACTATATTCTTAGGGTACTCATTATTGATAAGTGTCTATTTTATATTCTTTAATTCTTCAGAGAAAATTATTTTAGATGAAGAAATGATTTTTAGCTCTTGAAATTATTAATAAGAGCCGCACAATTTTCAGGGTATTCATTTCTGTAGTTTAGGAGACAATAATTATAACTAGTAGAGGTTTTATAATACTATCAAAATTGGGTTAGTGGCCCACACGTGTTTTTGTCTTGTCAGATAGCGTTCGAACATCACAGAAATACACAAGAAATGATCACCAACGCTACCTGACAAAAGAAATACATATGAAATTTGCTTAAGTTTGGTCTGGTTTATTTTGTTTTATAGCATATCAACCTCAATGGGTTATTTTCGCCGACAACATTTTAGGATAGATTCATATGAATAAAATATGTATTCTTTGATTTAGATTGGTTTGGTTTATTTTGTTTTACGACATATCAACCTCAATGGGTTATTTAATGCCGACCTGGTAATATTTTGTTTTGTCAAAAATCTGTTTCAGTTAATATTTTTCCTTCAAAATTGTATTGCTGGTAATAATTTTTTTCAAAAAATGTATTGCTGGTAATAGTTAACTATTTGCCCATAGCTGGGACTCTAACAAGTGCTACCACCCTGTGTCAGGGTGGACATGGGAAAACCAGCAATTAAGAGTTGGTCCCACACTCCTCAAAACCACCTGATCAGAGGCCTTGCTGCTGGACGTGGTTTATCGTCTTACCCAGGACGCGGATGTAGTTTAATGTTTTACCCAGGACGGGAAGTTTGCTTAAGCAATGCGAAATAAACATCATACAATAGAAAATGCCATAAGTTTGTTTTCTTCCCATGTTCAATTTCTGATTGCTTTAAATAAAAGTGAAACACTTATAAACACTTCCTATTTCTTTATATATATATATATATATATATATATATATATATATATATATATATATAAAATTTCGTTCCCAAGTATCCCTGTACTGCTACAGTAAGTACCGGCCGCCTCATGCTATCCGCTAGCTTTTTAAGGGCGTAATCGGTGAGAGCTGCCCAGTCCTCACTTAATAGAGTTCAAATGCCTCTCCGAGTTCTTGCTGGAAAAGAATTATTCCCCACCCCTCGGGATATGGTAAGGCTCTCACTCCTTCATTGCTCTTTGTATGGGAATTTCTGAAACGACCTACATTCCTTTGTCCCGCCAGTTCTAATCTTCACGACTAGGACACCCCGATGCCACTTACATAACAACCCACATTCCTTCGGTATGCCATCGGCGAGAAATAAGTTCCACTCAAACATCTTCTTCTCACGAAAAACTGCTCCCAAGAGGATGTTTTCCCCGATCACTACAATCTTAACTTGTTCAATTCTAGAGTTAACCATTATATTCTCCTCATAATCTACACGTTCAAATAACCCTCGACCTCAAGTGGCTCCCGGATCTTGTACAGGGTAAACCTTATTGTAAAAGAAAAAAAATAAGGCAGTAAAGCCGATAAAACGCAGGTGGTTAATGAAGATAAAAAACAATAACGTATATGTAAATAAGAAAACGTAACGTCACAGAAAAAAGCGCAACAAGAAATATGATTCCAGGAGATAAAAATTAACCATTTCGATTGAATTAAAATTTTAACAGTTCGTATTTAAAAGAAAAGCAAGAAGCCAGAATAACTTCCGATTGACCAGTTCGATAAAATAAACTATTTGAATAGAACCTACATTTCGCAATTTCTGAAATAAAATGATAAGACATGACTACCAATCTAGGACTACGCATAACAACCTGAAGACAAGGTACGAAAAAGAATCAGAATATTTGATATTTAATTATTTGTAGAAAATGTACAAGAAAAGGCTACATGACGGTGGTGGGAGTGTAACTGAAACAGATGTTAGCTTGAGACCAATAATATTTTCTTTGGATTTTGTCCAGAATCTCAAGAGCTATAGCAGAAACACCAGACCAAACCAGACGTGACAGTAATATTCAATGCAATGGAAGATTTATAAAGTTGCAAAACACATTCTGTTAAAAAAAAATTGTCTAGCACAGACAAATGAACCAACATTCTTCGCAATATAAATATGTCTAGCTTCGAAAATTTGAAAACTTTATTATTTATACAGGGTTATACACAAAGTCATGCCTTATAATAATTCCTGTTTCTTTGTTATGCGTTACAGATTAGAATTGTGACACGTGAGTCTACGCGAAAGACTTGTAGTAGTCTGTCCTATATAAGATATTTTTCAGAGATATATTGTCAGGACCAATAAATGTGCATGCAACGTTGGCCTCAGCTAAAGGAGTTCATTTTAGAGTGACGTTATCAGTACAAATTACCTTTTTTTTTAAATATATAATCAGTCATAGATTGCTTACTAAGTAACGTTTGATTCACGGCTTTAATAAAACCTTTTCTTTGCTCATTTACTCAAAGATACGTAAACGATTTCACGAGCAGGTCTTCCACACTACCACCTCTTTCCCACAGACAAAATGTTGCGCTCCTCTCGATGCTCTATAGTTACTTCCTCTGACCAGTTACATTCCTTAGTCTCACCACACCTGATCTTTACAACTGGGAAACGCCATGCCACGGACATAAGATCCCCTTTCACTTCGTATTCCATTAGTAAGGAGTAAGTTACAGTTTTTCCACAAGAACTGATGTTACGTGCAACAGGCTCGCGATAGGATGCTTTCTAATCAATAGAATCTTGACCATTTCAAATCTAGTGTTAACAGTTAGCTTCAGCACCACGTATTTCTTGTCTTGCCTCGGGTGGCTCTTAGGTCTTGTATTTTGTGAATATAGAAGAAGGAAAAACTACTGTAAGAGATGTAACTAGTCTATTGCTTTTATGGCCATACAACACTAAAACTTAACTGTATACATTGAGTGGCTCTTGGGCCTGTGTCAAAATTAGTATAAAAGGAGAAAAATATTGTAATGGATATAACTAGTTTATCGTCTTTAACAAAATGTTTCTACCTCGATATCTATCTATCTATATATCTATATATATATATATATATATATATATATATATATATATATATATATATATGGAGAGAGAGAGAGAGAGAGAGAGTTAGAGTGGGAGAGAGAAAGAGAGATAAGAATGAGACAGTGGAGAGAGCAGAAGACGAAAAGAGAGTTAGCGACACGACGAAAGTACTTTCAGCAGTAGTATATAACAAGTGGATATTTTAATGATTTCGCATCTCCCTGAATACGTTTTAAAACCCTTCATCACTTCAAGTGACCCTGCTAGGCAACAACAAGAGGTCTATGAAGTACGTTCTCCACAGACAAAAGTATTCACTGAAAAGAATTTTTCTTCTGTTAATGTTGATATATATATATATATATATATATATATATATATATATATATATATATATATATATATATATATATATAATGTACTGAGAGAGAAAAAACTATAAACGGAATACGAGATTTTGCTTACGGGCAGAACAACGGTCCAAGGACTGTGACATCCTCTCAAGGAAGAAACACCTGAAGCAAATAATTTTACTTGGATAGTTGGGACAGAAGAATGAAAGAAAGAAAGAAAGAAAGAAAGAAAGAAAGAAAGAAAGAAAGGGGGATAAAGATATATAGGATGAAAGAGAGAATTAAAGAAAGAAAATGATTCTGTGAAAGAAAGAAAGAAAGAAAGAAAGAAAGAAAGAAAGAAAGAAAGAAAGAAAAAGAAAAAGAAATGTAGAAAAATAAATAAATAATGAAAAAGAAAAAAAAGAGTGTCTGAGTTAAAAGCAGAATTATAAGAGAAAGCAAAAAATAAAGCAGGAAAGAGAAAATGACAAATATATATAAAGAAAGAAGGAGAAAGAAGAAAAAGCGTAAAAAAAAGAAAAATATATATACTGGCAAGGTGAGAGATAAATAAATAATAAAAGATTAAAAGGAATAGACACAAATAAATAACTAAGGCCGAAAGAATGAAGAAAGAAATAAGAAAATGTATGATATATAAACAAATAAAGAAGAAAGAAAAAAAAAGAAAGAAAAAGAAACGCAAAATAAATAAACAATAACCGATTTCAACTTAAATATGTCTTAAAGAAAAACGCCTGTACATGCTTATGAATTTGAGATAGGATTATTATGTATCGAAATGGTTTTTGTTATTTTGAAGATCTTTATTTAAAGCCTTGGCTTATGTACACGATCCAAAGACGACATAACACCAGTAGTCCATAAATATTAATATTACATAGAAAAGTGTGTTAAAAGCATTTTTGGTTTTCATAGACATTATTTTGTACGTAGTCTAAAGACGATCTATTACTAAAACTCTTGTAAAGCCCGTAGTCATCCACGGACAGTCTTTTTCCTCGTCCTTATTATCTTCCTGTGGTTAATGCAGATTTTGGGGATGTTCACGTGTCTTGGCTCCGTGTTTACTCAGTCATGGTCAGACAGGCGAATTTCAGCGTCGTGTTCGATTTGCCTCAGCAACATGTGAACGACTTTCTAAATAGGTTTTACAGAATGTATAATAAGCCAGTATGTTGCTTCAAAAATTTTACAGTGTTGTGCATACATACCGTCGCCATTTGCAAGCTTTTTATTGATTCTCCGTGCCTACAAATAACCCTCAGATAACATTGACGGGTTAAGTTGCTGCATGTAGAAATTCAGAAGTATTTACACTAAATGACCATGGAAGCCATGTTTTTCGACCAATAGCTAAACTGTGTTGGCCACCTCCTTCTCATGGCTGAGAAAGGTGTAGTGAGAGGGAAAATAGACTTACCCAATTTTGCATAGAGTCGAGCGATTACTACAATATAGCGTCTCCGATAACACCACTCTCGCCGTTGAATGAGATGGACTTTGTGGAAACATGGGTTCATTATATGCTACTCAAGTGCGGACCAAGAAGATAAAAAAATAACACAATGCTGCAGGAGTGGGGAACGAGATTACAGATCTCTTTTTGACGTCGGCTGCATGTGTGGCCATCAGAAAGATATCTGTCATGGCGTAGCCCGGCGAATTAGAAGATTTGACTATTCCACAAATTTCGGACATGACAAGGATAAATGTGCGTTCACAAAAAAAGTTGGTTATTGCCGAAAGGATAAAGTTAATCGCGAGAACAAGAGCTGAAGGAAACAATAATAGCGTATGTACACAAGCAACGAGAAGCTTGCAGATTTTATGAATTTGAAAATCATGGCACTGGAACATTGGCCACATGAGTTGATACACGTGAGATTAATTGAAGTTATGCGTGATTCTTCGTACAAACACACAATCTTAGAACAGTTACACCTGACTAAAACGTCCTTGGATACATTTATTGGGTTTTTGCAACAATTAGAGGTAAGTGATTAATACATCCAAGTGTAATGTTAATTTACGCAGTATATCGAATTACCTTGTGAAACGGACAAGAAAAAAATGTCCAAATTTAGATCACGTATTCTGGAATTGTGAAATGAAAAAAAAAAAGCATTTCCAGTCTGTGTGCATCTATAAAACGAAAATCGAAAGGGTAGAGAATTTATGCCCATTTCAGCAAAATATAGCTGCATTTGCAATAGAATGATATAAAAATAAAAGTTCCAGATAATAAATCAAATTGATTGCTATAACTTTTCTTGTGCAAGTAGATATTAGGAATGATGTGATCTTAATCCCAATAAATTTCTAGGAATGAATGAGCAAACCCAATTTAAAGAGAAGTTAGCATGAACTAAAACAGTTCTACGGCTATTTCATCAAAACTTTGAAGGAATTTTTCAGACCGACATACGCTTCGAAATCATTCACGGTAGTGAAATGTGAAAAAAAAAGTCATGGACTCGTGAGAACAAGTGTATTAATTAAAATTGGGGGTTGGAAAGTAATGGCACGGGGGTATTAAAAGATACAAAGCGAGCATTTAATCAAAAGATTAATCTCCTCTCTTACTTGCTGGGTAAGGAATTTTACAAAAGGTTTCCTTGATGGTAGTAATTGGGCCTCATCCATTTTTGTTTTACGAAAACCGAATGAAGTTTTAAGGATATGTGGGGATTACAAAACAGAAGTAAACCACAAAATATATCCAAATCTGTTCCCTATACGTAACATCGAAACTGCTATTCACGATTTGTCGAGAATTAAATATTTTGCTAACAATGTCATCAAATCTGCCTATAACCTGATAGACATTGATGAAAACTTTAAAGAGGTCACTGCGATTGACCTCGCAATAGGCTTACTCAGATGGAATTGCATGCGTCATAGTGTAGAAGAGCAATTGCTATCATAAATATACCAACTGGTAAAGTTAAGAATATGATAATCTGCCAATGCGATATGTGTATTGGTGTTATTAACAGTTTTTTTTTAATACTAGAATGACCATAAACACGGATAAATGGGTCTTCAATTGCGACTGATTAATATATCTGGGGTGACAGCTTTCCAAAGACGGAATTTTACCAGCAAAATTTGATGAAAGTAGCAGAAGTATCTACACCTAGAAATAATAAAGAATTGGAATATTTTTTAGGTTTAACCAATTTTTATAGCGGATTTTTGCCAATGTATAGTGAATTGATAGAACCCTTTGTGGATTTACAAAAAAATCGAATTTAAATGGATTTAATGCTAGAATACTGCATTTGAAAATTTAAAGAAGGAATTAAAAATCTGTCTATATTTCTGAGATGAGGTATTATGTACACTATTTACATTATTCGGACTATTTTCTTCATCTTTGTTGATCATAATTATTACAACGTTTCGGCCGTTATACGCTCCGGCCTTCATCTGGTGGTTGGAATGTTGAATTGAACCCTATATTTCGCTCACTGGGGTAGACTGCTCTAGTTCCACGTGCCTTGTTTAAACATTTATAAATCTACAATTCGTCTGTGTATTGAATACTGCTGCCATATCTACTCTGTATATTTCGTGGTTCTTGAAAAACTTCAAAGAAGTGTCAGTAATATAATCGATGCTGACCTGGCATCTCAATTTCAGTCACTTTCTCACAGCCATGACGTGATTTCCTTATGGGGTTTTTACAAATATTTTCATGGTATTTATTCCGATAAGCTGTTATCCTTAGCACCTCGACTCCTTGCATTTTAGTGTATTACTAGATTGGCAATTAGGTCTCACTGTTTTATACATAACAGGTGGAACTAGAACAGTCTACCCCACTGAGCGAAATAAAGGGTTCAGTTCAACATCCCAACCACTTGAAGAAGACCGGAGCGTACAACGACTGAAACGTTGTAATAAATATGGCGACAAAGATGAGGGCAATAGACCGAATAATGTAAATAGAGGAATTAAAAATGTTATAAACCCTTCGACCCTTAGAAGGAAGTGACTTTAACTACTCACGCAAGTATCAGCGATTTTCTCTTTCCAAGGTCATCTAATCATGTCTCTTTCTCGAAGGTTGACGTCAGCCGAGGTTAACTATTCAAATATTGAAAAAGAAAGGTCAGCTATCGTATGGAGTGCAGATAACGCTCACCAATTTGTATTAGGCAAGGAGTTTCTGCTTATCTCTCACCAGGAATGTTTAGAGCCTATTTGTATCACCAGGAATCTGTTACATATAGTTGCATCTAGAATATTAAGATGGCCAATAATGCTAATGGCATCTGACTTCAACATCGAATGTGTGAAAGGAAACTCTATTCGACGTCTAGATCCTATATCAAGACTAAAGTTCAACAATGAACCAACAGAAAAATTAGTCAATTCACAAGATCAAATATTGAACTGGACTGAAAAATATATATGAACCCTTAGATCGTCTTGTATTTGAAAACTTAAAGGATTCGGTATTAGGCAAGAATGCGTGTAGAATAAGAAGAAACAAATGGGGTGGTTGTTCTAAAACAGGGAGACTCTATAAAGAGATAAGGCATAGGTTAACAAAGTGTCTTATATAAAATGGAGATGTTTTAATACCACCAGAGATATTAAGAAAAGACGTAGTAAAAAGTGTACTTCAAGGGTCGGCAACCTACGGCCCACGGGCCGGATCCGGTCCGCGAAGGCATTTTGACCGGCCCACGCAGGTATTATGACCGGCCCGCGAAGGCATTTTGACCGGCCCGCGACCTGATTACCATTGACTCTATTTTTAACATGAGAGACGAAGCTTTCGAATTAGACTATCTGCCAGTTATCTTTCATGAGACTTATTTTACCAAGTTGCGTTGCCTACGTTTAATGTCAAATAATGGATATATATTTGTTATGACCCTTGGCTACATTAAAAGATAACAGAAGCGAAAGGAACGATGAAGTGAAAGAGGCCAGGAAGGGACTGACATGCGAGATAGCAGAAATCTAAAGACAGTTAAACATACGCGCATTATACATACATGCCTCATGAATGTGTGGATGATACCGCATTACCGCATATTTGTACATACGTAAATGTATATGTTTGTAACTATTTGTACTCGTATGTATGGGTATATGTGCTTCGTTTTTGTTCGATGTGTGTGTGTGTGGTTCGTTTGAGAACTGAGAAAGTAACGAAGAAGTTGATTTGGAAGAGGGGGAAGAGCCTGAAAGTGCGGAGATCATGAATGCTTCTGATGAAGAAACGGAACATCGTAGCAAAGTTATGATGGGTAGCTCGTGTGAAACCGACACGCAGTTGGGAGATCAGAATAGCACAAACTAGATCCCGAATAAAAAAGACCCCGGTACACACACACACACACACACACACACACACACACACACACACACACACACACACACACACACACAAATATATAGAGAGGGAGGGGGATTGAGTGAGAGAGAGAGAGAGTGAAAGAGAAAGAATAATAATCTTGTACTATAATTCGGAAAAGTCACAGATCAATAAAAAGCATAACACCTCTTCGTTTCTATGAGGTAGAGTGACAAGGTACAATAGACTTGCATAGTCTAGGGACTACTAATAGTTCAGTCGTTACTCGGCACAGTGTGGAGAACCGCTACGTCATACACTAAGAGACATCACAACAAGTGGACTTATTGTATTTTCTTTGTTGAATTGGAAATACAAAAAATATGGAGGCAATATATATGACAGTACTAGCCAACAGTAATTGAAACGTTTTTAATACTGTACAATCTTCCTACGGATGAGGAGAAAACTAGAGGCATTTAAGCGTGTTTAATACTGTACAATTTGTCTATGGATGAGGAGAAATTCTTAGACTTCATAATAAGGAAAGAGGCCTTGGATGTTTATTAAACCTCTACATCGAGAGTACCCTAAGGGAGTTGGTGAAGTGAGTAAAATATTTAGAATATGCGATGCTCAGATGGTGTTGTGTTGATTGCCGACTGGGAATTAAATCTAAAAGTCATACTAGAAAGGATGGTCGAAGAGGGCGAGTAAAAACGACTAAACATAAACTGCCAGAACCCAAAAGTATGGTCATTAGCAACGGAAAAAAAGCTTAAGATGTTAGTTACAATTTGGAGACATACACATCAAATAATTACAGAAGTTTAAATATTTGAGAAACGTTTTAGTAGAGGGTGGTAAATGAGACACCGAGAGGGTACTTGATGTGGTGTAATGGTTAACAAGCTTGTCACTCTAGAACAATTACGGCTGTGTAGTGAGTTCGATCCTCACTGGTTACTCCATACTTTCGGCCTTGTGCTATACCTAAGCTACGCTTGGGAAATCACTATGAGTCACCAAGATGCGAACTGGTATAATAAAAAGAAAGAAAGCCTACCAAAATGAACGCAAAAAGGTTAATCTACTCCAAATTTATTATTATCATCTACACATAATTAGTATTTAAGCTGATACATTTGGCAATATAATTCGTTTCCAAAAATGGATATTTCTTACGAATCAAGTTCATATTGCTGACCAGAGGTTTATCATTTTTTATTAAAGCCGAAACAAATGGAATTTTGATCCGACATGTTTAAACTGAACATGAATCCACTCAAATACAACTTTATCTTTGAGCGCTTGCATTATTCGAATCGAAATAATCTTGTCAACGATCCAATGGTAAATGTATTCCGTTAGGAGATAAATGAGGTCACAGATGTTAGAAACCATGCGGAAAGCGTTTTCGAATAGGCCAATATTAATACATGACCAATGCTGGCTGTTCGTCTTTTAGAAAAACGACCGAACTCGGTCCTTAACATCGAAAGACGTTTCCTTCAAAAGCTATACAAGACATCAATAAACAAGACAAGAAAAGGATAATCTACTGCTATATAAAATTCAGTTCTTTTATATGGCTGCGGTTTGTTGAACGACTTTTCCAAAGATATGGAGGAGACTTGAGGCAAGAGATACGTCGTCTTACAGAAGAATACTGAGAAAACCATGGATGGAATATGTAAGTAACACGAAAGGTCCAAGAACAATGTGAACAAACAAGGACGTTTATATTTATATTCAGAAAGGGATGGTTGAAATTTCTGGTTTGCATAATGAGGAAAGAGTGAATGGAGAATGTGATACTCACAGGACATAATGAACGCAAGAATGGAAACAGAAGATAATATACCCGACCATCTTGTGTAAATGAATGGCAGGGAAAATGGAGGAATTGTAAGGCGACAAACTTTGCTTAATGCTAAAACTACGCAATATAGAACTATGATTGTTCATGTCCTGAAGTGACAGGTTACTTAAAGGGGTAAAAAAAGATAGGTGAGATATGCACCCGGAACCCAGAATGACGGTGATACCTAACTCCATTCGTTTTCTTGGGTAGATTGTTAATAATGATTTTTTTTTCTATAGCATAGGTTTCTTTCTCGTGACAAACATTGGTCAAAAGGCAAGGCTAGATTACCCAGCCTGCTCTTCTATTAGCTGAAGGAAGCGATGTATTCATAACATTGGAAACCCAGTATCTGTCTGTATTTATGAAATGAGGTATTATGTACATTATTTACATTATTCGGACTATTGTCCTCATCTTTGTCGCCATATTTATTAAAACGTTTCGGCCTTTCAGTATCTGTCTATATTTCTGAGATGTGGTATTATGTACACTATTTACATTATTCGGACTATTGTCCTCATCTTTGTCGCCATATTTATTACAACGTTTCGGCCTTTCAGTATCTGTCTATATTTCTGAGATGAGGTATTATGTACACTATTTACATTATTCGGACTATTGTCCTCATCTTTGTCGCCATATTCATTACAACGTTTCGGCCTTTCAGTATCTGTCTATATTTATGAGATGAGGTATTATGTACATTATTTACATTATTCGGACTATTGTCCTCATCTTTGTCGCCATATTTATTACAACGTTTCGGCCGTTGTACGCTCCAGCATTCTTCAGGTGGTTGGAATGTCGAACTGAACCCTTTATTTCGCTCAATGGGATAAACTGTTCTAGTTCCACGTGCTTCTTACACATTTATAAATCTACAATTCATCTATGCAATTGAATACTGCTGCCATATCTACTGTGGTGTTCCTGCTGTATATTTTATAGTTCTTGAAAAACTTCAAAGAAGTGTCAGTAATATAATCGATGCTGGCCTGGCATCTCGATTTCAGTGACTTTCTCACAGTCATAACGCGATTTCCTTCCGGGGTTTCTACAAGTATTTTCATGGTAATTATTTCGATAAACTGTTATCTTTAGCACCTCGTTTGCTTGAATTTAAGTGTACTACTAGATTGGCTATTAGGTCTCTGTTTTACTGTTAGAATCTGTTCTATTCTAATAACTTCTTTTCTCGCACTTCAGGCCTGTGGAACTCTCTTCGTATTTCTTGCAACACTGCCATCTACAATCTTCAAAAATTTAAATGCAATGTCAATCGCCATCTTCAGTTTTCCTGAACCATGTTCCTTTAATATAAATTTACTTTCTTCTCCTCACTAAAGTCTTCTCATTCTCTTTCACTCAATATAAAGCCAAATATCTTAGTGGCATTATCTTCTTACTTGAAGTGACACGATAAAAAAAAAGCCTCATAATTCATAGTGTGTTCGATTTTGAGTGTGTGCTCTGTAGTTTTTTTGCCAACCTTATTAAATGCCTACGTTTATCAGTATCGATAGATATTATTGATGGTAAGAGACGAGGGAAAAAGAAATTGCGAATATCTGTAAACTATCCGATAATCAAGATATTTAGGGGCAGCATAAAAATAAAATAAAATAAAATAACAACTAAAAAAAAGTCGCAGGTTTTAACAAAGAATTTAATTCATTCTATTTTCATTCACAATTTTCTTCCACCCCATTTATTTTCCATTCTTTATTTTCGAACAATATTTTCCCCATTTTTCCCATCGTTTACGTGTCCATTTCCCGCCTTTTTTTAATCTACTCTAACCTCAATTTCGCCAAAAGGGAATTGAAAGCTCTGGCAATTGCTTTTATTGTCGCCCTATTTTTCCCTCTTAGATTAAGAATTCGCGATTGACTCGAATAGAATAATATCACTTCGAAAGGATCGATCAAGAATAAATGGCTTTGGGAGGTGACTGTATTGTAAGGAGGTGTTTAGGTTTTAAAATAAATCGCTGGGGACAGCAGATCTTTTCTACGCAAGGTAGGATGTAACGGCTGGCGGAATTACTTTCTACGAAAAAGGCAAATGCAACTGGGAAAGATGAAATCGATATAAGATTATAAAAATGAATGATTAGAATCAGTGCATATCATTTTATTCGGCCATTTTTTTTTTTTAGAACGTTTCGACTATATATTTCTTCGCTTATACTTTTCTTTTTTTCAGAAATTTGTCGAATCCTATTTAGCATACAAATCGCATTTCTTTTAACAGATATGTCATATTCGGTTTCTGGATCGCTAAGTTCCTGAGGACATGATGCGAAGAATTCGGCTCTGATCTCGTGACCTACCCCCTGGGGAAAATGTATTATGCTCTCACTGAAATGGAGTAAACTTACTTCACATCAGAATTAAATGGGTGCAGTGAGAAATAACGTTTCCAATCCTATAAAAATAAGTTCAAAACGAGACAGAATAATAGAACTTGTAAAAAAAAAAAAATTTATTTCTCATCATAAATAATGACAGTTGATCTCTAAGAAATCTCTCCAATCCTTTAAAATAACTTTCCAAAGAGATAGACTTATGGAACTGGTACCAAAATGAAGTCAACTGATTTTTCCTTAACATTACGAGGATTAACTGATAATGTCTTTAATCCTATAAAAGAATTTCTAAGCCAGATAGTATCAGGAAAATGGTAACACAATGTCGTATTTTTATTTCTCTCCCAAATTAAGAGGACTGATCGATAAATAATATCTCCAGTTCTGTAAATGAAGTTCACAACCAGATAGAATTATAGAACTGTTATCAAAGTAAAATCTATCTACTTTAGAAGTAGTTTATTTCTCTCCAAAATTACGATGGTCGATCGATAAATAGTCTCCAATCCCATAATACAAGGTTTCGATCAGATAGAATAATGAAACTGGTATCAAAATGAAGGACATTTTATTTCTCACCAAAATTATGAGGGTTTATTTATGAGTTCTCCGGTCTGAAAAAAGTAGTAATAAAACTTATACAATGTTGAAGCACGTATGAAAATGATAATTAAGGTCTTCGTTTCTGTAAAACATTGG